CTCATAGTTTCTATTTTCCCCCCAATTCTGTTTCTCCCCTCCCCCAACCTCCTTCCTGGGATCTCCCTGTAGCTTTACCCAACAGCCCCATCACCCACCCCCACCTATCCCTCCTCTCCCTGGCACCCTGAGCAATGCTTCTCTGTTGGGGTTTGGCATGCCTGCCACTTGCTCTACCTCAAGGGTATTCAACACTGGCCACACTGCTGGGAAAATTACATCCTCGGCTTGGCCAGGCTTCCAGTGTTAGCCTCCCCATCTCCCCGACTTAGCTGCTCCCATGTGGTGCGATTTCTCTCACCAAGTGTTGTTTTCCTTCTCTGTGCCTGTGTTTGCAGGGAATGCCATGAATTTGATATAGTGATTGCCTAACACATATACCACATAATAGTATTTTATTTCTTTCTGAAGCTCTGTTTGCAAGACAAATGAGTTGGTAACATTTGTGCAACTCCTTGCAGCTGTGCAGTTCAATATATAAAGAATGAGCCTTTCGGCATCAATACTGGCCCTGTGTATTCTAAGAGGGCTTGAAACTAATGCTTAAACAAAGTTAACATTACAGCATTTCACTGAGTTATGGTCTATTTTATCACAATGGATCTCAGGGCGATTTAAAAATATGGACTGAACTGGAGCCACCCCCAGAGTGGCACGTGGTGTGGGCTATGTCAGCCTCCCTCATGTTTGGGGCGGCTGGTTAGTGCTGCTGCTGCCACTATACACACTGGGGGCAAATGGCCCAGCCCTTCTGCTGAGCCCTCTTTCCTCCCTCTAGCATAGAACCCATCATATTTGCAGCTGTGGCTGTTTGCCACCCTCGGTCAGCCCTGTACCCCCATGGTGGCTTCTGGCTGCCAGTGGCCTTGTCCTGCTGGGTCTGACAGGCCTTTAGTGTGTGCACCAGCAGGCCCCAGGCCCTGGGCCACTCGCAGCATGTTTGTTGTTCGATACCCCCTTCCCACCACCTCTGAGAAAAAAGCTCACAAGTCAGCCACCTGTCAGTCATTCCTCCCAGGTTTCGGCCTTTCTGTTTTCCTCCTGAACTCCCTGCTCCAGTCTCGCCCTGTCGTGGCCCGTTTGCAGGCTGGAGGATGAACACAGAACATAAAACACAAACTTGAAGAACACAAAGAAAAACGCAGACATACATACAAATGGTTGACTCGAGTAATAATACACTGGGTCCGTTTTATTTTTATACTCTAAAAGATTAAAGTTAGTTCCTTGTACATAACCACCCAGGCGTGGCAACAATGGCCATAAATTCTGGAATAGCCTTAGGGAAGCATTTGTCCCCTGACTCATAATCTCAAGGTGGTTGCTGTAGGCACTAGGCATAGATAAAGGACTGAGATTAGCAAGGATGGGCAAGGTGAGCCACAGGGGGCATTTCTCATCCCCAGCTTCTCTTAGGGTGACCCCCTAAGATCTTCAGATGAGCCCTGGTGGCTGTGCCTGTCTTAGGTCGCCCCTCCCTTGAGGAGTCTTACCTGTCATTGACTAACCAGCCATCTTATATGTGTATGCAGCAATCACAGGAACAATGTGTTTATCCTGTGGCTTCCAGACCCCCAATGCTGTGGGACAGGGCTGCTCTTGCTACTCGCAGCTCAGGTCCTTTGTTATGCCTCTAGGCTACACCTTTGTTTATCACTGGGAGCCTGTCCAGAACAGATTACTTTCAAAGGCTCTGGGCAGAACATGTACATTACTCACTAACTTTAATTTTTAAACTAGGAAAATATATTCGGTCCCCTACATCGCCCCTTCCCTGGATTTATATCCCCTCCTCGTCCTCCGTCAACATTGTCTGCCTGCAAGACACGGCTTGTACACGGCTTAGTAAAATTGGTCTGTTGCTTTTTACTTTCCTCTGCACCCTCCCCACTTCTCGGAGGGGCTGGGCCGCAGCCTCACACTGCTTTGCCACTGCAGCCCCTTGGGGGCTGCCCACCAGGCCCCTCGGTCTGCCTTTCCGTGTCGTCAGCATGGTGCTCCGGCTGGGCCTGTCCAAGCCGGGAAGGCCTGTATTAAAGAAAAGGGCCATATTGCGACGTCAGAGCTGCCCTGCACGCCCTCCTCCCTCGACACTTCCTGTGGGTTTTTAAAGGTGAGCAGCTCAGGCTGTGGTTGCTCTTCCTGATTTATTAAAGGCAAGAGAGGAAAAACAAGCTCCAGTGTCTCAGTCTACTTAGTAACCACATCCACACTGTTAGCGAGGCGAAGGGCTGCTCGGAGCGCGCGCCGGATTCCCGGAGGGCTGCCACGCTCCCTTCCGCCCTGCTGACCTCGCTCTGTCTCCGCCAGGCCTTGTAATAATAACGGCCATAAATCTTTTAGTGGGTTCCATTCTCCTCCTGCTGCAAAAAGCCCTGGAACAGGACATCTGTCAGGTCCTCAGAGATGCTCAGGGACCATGGACTTGTCCTTGACCCACTTCGTCAGGGCCTCTGGGCTCCTCGGGCATCCTTCATGCCATGTCGTGGGTGGCAGCACCGTGGGGCCGGCGCTCTGGGAGAGTGTGGTTGAAAGGGGGTGCCATTTGGGGCCCAGATTTTGACTGGCATGATCTCAGGAGCACCTGGTTTCCTGTTGTCTCATCTCAGGCCCTTGTGGAAGAGGAGGTCACCTTCTTCATCACTCCCTAGGTTTGGGGTGTGTCAATGTAGGGGGTCAGTAGAGTCACAGAGAAATGCCACAGTGGGTTTAATGGGCAGTTATGCCACCTGCTTTTCATAATCTGTTAAAAATTAAACAAAACTCTCACACTGTATCTGTGGGTAAGAGTTCCTTTAGAGACATGGAATACATTACCCGATGTCAATAACAGATTGTGTATGAAGAGAAATGTAATGCTTTCAGAACATTTTCTTTTGGTCTTTGTTCATGATTAGATTATACTAAATTATAGCGTGCAGATATCAGGCAATTACTCTTTGCTTTTAACTATTCAATTTCATGGCAAATCCACATAGCTCAGTAATTCCAAAATCACACCAACGTGTTTACCGAGAAAATACCTCATCATCTCCATCTTGTGAAACGAGGTTCAGCTGCCCTATAATTACCTGTGGTCTGTTAAGCATAAAGAGCATTCCAAATGAAGACAGGGTGATCTGTACCTCTCCGCGCTTGCTGGGTATCTGCAGAGATTCTCGCAGATTTTGCTGGATAAACCTCAGTGAGATGGCCCTGCTGTCACGCCCTCCCTGTCTCTGATCCTGGCTGGTTTCTGGTCCCCTCATTCTATAGCTTTTACCAGGAGGGTGTCTCTCTTTTCTTCTGTTTTGTGAAAACATGGTCATTTTATCTTGGCTCAGCTCACAGAATCCTCCCCAACCTCCCCCCAATTTTAATTTCTTCCAGGGCTGTGCATGTCCCATAAGCAATCGAGTCTGCTGTCCTGGAAACTGGAGGAGCTCGTTGGTAAAAAAGAATTATTTGAGCCGATTGTGAGAAATCGAACAGTGGCAGGAGGAAAAGGAGAAGAAAGGAGCCGACACATCTAAACAAGCGCGGGGCGCTGCGCATGCAGATGTAGGCGGTAGCTGGGGCTCTGTTTCGGCTCATTATCCAGAAGCACATCCGAGGGGGTGAGGGTCAGGGACAGTGGGGCTGTGGTGCTGAGCCTTGAACGAGGCTTTCTGCAGGGAGGACAGCACACGCACCCTTCCCCGCTGCTGGTTGCTGAACCGATTCCCATTTAAAAAAATGCAGACCACCTGGAGTGAAGTCTCCTAGGAGCCCCATTTCCCTCCTAGCAGCTATTTCAACACTGCTCTCCAAAGCCCAGGATCTGGGGAAACTCTCCAGCCCCAGAAATGGGGCCCCCCTGCTGGTGATAGGGGAAGGTGGTCTTGATACAGGGGCAGATTCCAGCAGAGGGTGAGGGAAGGACACTAAATAAATCTGTGTCTTCCACAGGAAAGAGACTGCGAGAATCTTGTTTTTCTGCTGCTTGGAGTGTGTTATAGATAATAGGGTGGAGTGGCATGGGGGTGTGTGGAAGGGCAAGGAGGAGTCTTGGCTCCAGCTCTCACCAGCAGCACGCATTGCAGATTTCTGTGTCGTTCCCCTCTTTCCTCCCCGCGTGCCCCGCTGCAGCAGCCCCCTCTCTGTGTGTTACCGTTCGGACGTCTTGGCAGCGTTTCCTGGGAGCCTGCAGCTGCTCTTGGGTTGATTAGTGTATGCGCTGGAAATGTGTGTGAGTGTGCAGCGTGGCCGGGTCTGCGGCCATGGAGGGTCCAGGTGTTCCTCAGGAGAATTCCAAGCACCCCAAACCACGGTCCTTTTTAAGGGTTAGAATGTTATTCTGGCAACTACTGTCCGTGGCTAAGGCCTGGCAGCAATTGGGGTGGGTGGAAATACAGATCGGAGACTGTTGTCTAATTGCTGGTGACCTACGGATGGAGGGAGCTATGGTTCTCGTATAGGTCCAGTTTATAAATAAATGAACATTCATTAATGTAAAATTAAATTAGAATGAAATTCCCCATCCAGTTTTGTTTGGAAGGCAGAGATAAGTGGGCTGGCTGTGTGGCCTTGCTGTGGATGCTGGAGCAGGCAGTCACAAGGCAACGATGATAACAGTGTCTGCTCTTTGCTGGCACCTCGGTCCCCAGGTATTGCCACCTGCTTTTGCAAAGCCTCTTTGAGGCTAAAGGGCTGGTTGGAAGTTGCTCAGCAAGGGGTTGCGCAGAGGCCTTAAAGCCCTCTGGCCATTAGACCTGCAGCGCATCTGCGAACAGAAGCCAGTAAACAGGAATCAGACCACGGTTCAGGAGACCGGAATTCTAGCCCTTGCTTTGCCGCGGACTCAGAGTGGGCGCAAAAATGCCATTTCTCCGAGCTCAGTTTCCTCTTCTATGTTGACAGGGCCAGTGAGAGTCTTCCACTTGTCCAGGTCTGAGTTAATGTTGGAATTTAGAACTCACCAAAGGCGCACACTTTGCTGATGTGTGCTCCATTGTAGCCAACTCCCTCTGAACTTTACTTCCCCCTTTCCTCATGACCTGAGTTTGCCCTTTGGAAATTAAAATATTAAATACGAGTCCTTTCTGTGTATTTCATGCTTTATTTGCTGGAGGGCATTTGCTCTGGAAAGGGTGTTTTCCTTCGGAGCCTGGCTGGTGGGCGGTGCACATTTCTGGAGCCTGGCTCCTGTGGGAGGGGCTCCCAGATCTGTTCATCTTCTTCGCAGAACGCAGAATGGGGCTGTCACTTGGCTGCTGGGGAGAAGCAAAGGGTTGCAGCTCAGTACTGTCAGCAAGTTTGCTCACGAAACCACCCTCTAAAACCTGCCTGGGGGGGGCGGGGGGAGGGGCCATTCTGGCAGGCGGGGGGAGGAGGAGGGGGAGGGGAGGGGAGGGGACTGGGAGGTGGGAGGTTTTCTGAGGGGTGAGAGGAGCTGCCTGTAGCCCGGGGCAAGTCATTTAACCTCCCATTTTCTCCATCACCGACACTTCCTCTGTCTCTCCCCTCTCCTCCTTCTAGAAGTAATTAGTGGCTATTTGTCAGAGGAGATCTAGCTTTGCACAAGTAACTCTGGCTGACCTTGAACTTTGCAAGGCCAAATGGGGCTTAGGACTTCTATTGCAGAACGAGTAGGGAAAAGAAAACTGTACCAGGGTTTCCTTCAGAGCAGCTACCCAGCCTTGGTGGTGTTTTGGGAGGGAATGAAAACATCTGGAGCAGGGAAGGGTTGGGTGGGCTGCTGTTGTGGTGGCCCTCTGCCAGAAGGGCCTCTGGGAAATGGGCTGAGACACCGTTCCCTGCAGACATCGGAGCCCGCCCCTCTGTGATTAGGTTCCTCTCTGGGGAGAAAGCTCCGCCATTCTCAAGTGCAAAGCAGAAAAACAAATCTCGCCCTCAAACCCTGCTCAGGCTGCTCCTGGAATATCAACCCTGTGGGCCACCCCGCCCTGCAAGTACCGTTCTGGGTGGACAGCAGCTCCTCGCTCAGCAGCCCTTCCAGGGTGGCCCGGTACTTTTCCAGCTGCCTGGAGTTCATCCTCATTCCAATTTCCACAGGAGCAGTCAGCTGTGAAATAGGCCGAGTTAACAAGAAGGTAGAGGAGAGGTGTGGAGAGGGCTGCTGGGCCCCGGGTGCCCTACAGGTGGCAGGCTCCGCCTCTAGGGCTGGCTGAGAATTCTGGCCCCTCCCCCCAGTTCTAAGCAGAGGGCAAAATGCTGCAAGCCGGGAGATCAGCACACCTCCTGTAATGGGGGCTGGGACAGGAGGGTGGGCTGGAACCCCCTGGCTTTTGTATGGGAGGGAACTTGCTCCCTGCTCAAGGATAACAGCTAACATCCAGGAGCCTTACATGTGCTGGTGTCATTCTAAGCGCTTTATGTATATTAAGCCTAATAGTAGAGACTATCAGTTTCCCTTTTTGCAGATGAGGAAACTGAGGACAGACAGGTTGAGTAACTTGCTCAAGGCCGCACAGGTAGTAAGTACCAGCCGGGCTCCAGGGTCTGTGCCCAATGCCACCAGGCTACCTTTTCTCTCCCTGTCTGGAGGCTTTTCCCGGGGGAGGGGGGGTTCTTATGGCCTCAAGGCGAAGCCCAGGGTGCAGGCCAACTTCCCTGTCGCCCCCCGCAGCGTCCTGGCTTGGTGGTCTTGTTGCACAAAGTAGCTGGCAGACTCACAGATCCTGCCTCTGTGGAGAGTTGCCATGGAGGAGACCCGGCGCCCTCCTCCACCTCCCCGGGGCCCTGGTGTGGGGAACGGTCCTCTAGACCCTGGGCTGTTGTGCAGGTCACCTGTGCCACCCCTGCTGTAGTTCTGCCTCTCCCCAGGGGGGCCTCCACGTCCCCACTTTACAGTGGAGGGCTGGATGGGTAATCCAGAAGGGACCTCCCAGCCCCATGAGTCATGGTTCTGGGGAGACGGAAAGGGCACGAGAGGTGCCTCTCCCCAAACCTGCCCCCAAAGGTGACACTGGATGTGTTATGTCCCATGGAAACCGTGGAGCTAGTGCCTCAAACTCTGCCTCAGGTGAATTTAGAGGGTGATTCTGAGGAGCTCCCCCTTGCCGGCCTCCTCGCAAGCCCACGGAGGTCAGGGTGGATGTGGGGAGGAAAGGGGCCCTACCCTGCCGAGGGCAGGGACAGCACTGAGGTCACTGTCTGGGCCATGTCTTGCCAGCCTGGGCAGGTCAGTGGCCAGAGTGTCCAGTGGCAGGAGGCAGGAGTCCGGCCGGCTCTGCCCTGGCTGCTGAGTGACCTCGGCAAGGCCCTCGATCTCTCCAGGTGCCAGTCTTCTTGCCCCCAGGCCCCTGCGTCGGGGGTGCCCACACGCAGGCCTGGGGCCTCGCCTTCTCTGTCCACACCTGCTCCCTTCAGTAGCTCCCCCAGTCCTGGCTTGAAACTCCATCCAACTGCTGGTGGCTCCCATGTTTACACCCCGGCCCTAACCTCTCCTGAACTCCAGACTTGGGTGTCTGCCTGCCTGTGCACCGGCTCCACCCGGATGCCAAAGAGCATCTCCTAATCCACAGGTCCAGTCTGACCTCCTGATCTTCTCCCCAACAACCTGCAACCAAGCCCAGACTTAAACTGTCTCAGTTAGTGGAAAATCCATCCTTCCAGCTATTCCAGCCAACACCTTTAGAGTTAATTTTTACTATTCTCTTTCTTCACATGCTATATCCACTCTTTCAGCAAATCCTATGGACTTTTACCTTCAAAATATTTCTAAAATCCAACCACTTTGCCCTGCCTCTACCATGACCACCCAGGCTGGGCCTTCCCCTCTCTCTCTCTTTCTCTCTTATACTCTTATACTGCCTCTCTTATACTAGAGCAGCCTCCTCAGTGGTTTCCCTAACTCTGTCTTTATCCCTTCAGTCTGTTCTCAGCACAGCAGCTGGGGAGACCCCTTTAAAATGTAAATCAGATCATGTCCCTCCTCTGCTCAAAAGCTCCCACCTCAGCAGAGTGGAGTCCACAGTCTGGCCTTCCCCCGGCTGCTCCTGACTCCTCTGGTCCAGCCTCCTCACTGCTCCTGAGTGCACCAGGCCCCTCATGCCCCAGGGCCTTTGCACTGGCTGTTCCTTCTGCTCGGAGCGCTCTTCACCCAGATGTCCTTCTGGTTTGTTGCCTTGCTCTCTCCAAGTCTGGCACTGATCCCATGTCCTCATGAGGCCTGCGCTGTCACCCTGTCTAAAACTGCAGCCTCCTCGTCTCCTATCCTGGCCCTGCTTTGTCCCCTCCATGGCCCCTGTCACCACCGGCCGTCCTGCAGAGCTTGCTCGCTCTGCATACCTTGTCTATGGGTTTTCTTGCTCCTGGGATCCTGCTTTTGCATCCCCACTGGAGCGGGAGCGCCACGGGCAGGGATTTTGTCTGTTTTGTTCTACTCTATCCCCAGTGCCTGGAACAGCACCTCGTACATGGTGGGGACTCATTTATTCTTCTTCTTGAATAAATGAGTGTGTGAAATAAAGAGCTGGACGGGACAAACTCAAGGCTCTGTCCAGGCCTGACCACCCACGCGTCCTACCGCGGGTCCTGGGCATTGAGGCGCAGCTGTCTCCTGGGTGCAGCCCAGGAGGGAGGAGCTGGCGTGCTCGCCCCGCCTCCCGCCTGCTCTGCCGATTCCACGCGTGCTGCCCCGGGCCTGCGTGAGGCCGGCGGTTTCCTGCCCCGGGCCTGCGTGAGGCCGGCGGTTTCCTGCCCCGGGCCTGCGTGAGGCCGGCGGTTTCCTGCATTGGACCGAGGCAGCCGCCCAGGCGCTGCCCACCTCTGGCCTCTCCTAGCGCCCGCCAGGGCCTGGGACCCGGCAGGTGCTCCTGCGCGGCGCTGCTCTCAGCGTTCCTTCCTCTGGGAGGCCCTGGCTCCAGGCCTTCACACAGGGGCTCCTTCTCTCCATCCAGGTTTCAAATCGAGCGTCACCTCCTGCGAGAGGCCTTCCCGGACTGCTCCCCTGGACAAAGCCGTGCCCAAACCCCACCCAGTCTCCCTCTGTCTGTCCCTAAAATGGTCGATGTGCCCCACTGTGGTCGTCCGTCTCTCCCTCCTAGGGTGGTGCTCGTTGCCTGGGTGTGTCACTCACAGCTGCACCTTAGGACATGGCTTGGCCGAGGGGGGCTTGTGGGCCCTGCCTCCCGGCCAGGCTGGGGAGACAAACTCGCCAGTGTCCCCTCTGTGCTCACCTTGATCACCTCGTTTCCGTCTTCCTCCGCGGGCTCCATGGGGCCTATAGGACCTGGCTCCTCAGACCTCTGCCACACACTCAGGGCCTTCTTGTGCCCTTTATTCCGTTCCTTTTCCTAGGGCAGAGCACGAAACTGCGCGAAACTGCCCTCCCTCAGCCCAGCAGTCGGCCCCTCACCCGTCTCCGTCCGCCCAGGGTGCTAGCTGCACAGGGCTCCCCGGGGTGAAGGAACCCCCTCCCCAGGTGCCCCGCGTGAGGGGTCTCAGAACCCCAGTGGCTTAAGGACGGCCTCAGGGTTGCCCACCAGTGGGCCGACTTGAAGAGGAACCCACTCCTTGCACCCAGATTGTTACTGTTAATTAAGTTAAAAAGCTGAAAATTATGGCCACGCTTCATGCATATTAAGTGTGAAAATGTGTCTTTCTTAGCAGAGAGCCTATAAAAAAGGCAGCGAGACAGCCTCGCCTGCGAGGGCGCCGTGGGGTGGCCTGGGAACTCAGAGTCCCTGGGAGGTGATTTATAAGAGGCAAGACAGGAGATGAATTATGGAGGAAGGAGTTTGCAGCTTCTTCATAAAAATCTCCATGCTTGGCTATTACGAGGAGCAAAACCAAGGAGCAGATTAATGCAAAGTGTCCTTTGGTTGCCGTTTTGCCAGTTTATATTCTACTGAACTTGACTGTTTCTGGCCAGCCCCAATCTTGCCTGGCATGCTGCTTGCCAGGTCCCTGAGCACAGAGACTGGACACGCCCTGTTCCTTTGGTTTCTCTAGTGACAGTCTTGGCATCTGCTGTGGGTCTGCCCCGAGACGTGATTCTGCTGGGAGAGTGAGGCAGTGGGGAGGAAGGGCCTGCTGCGCGCTCCCCCAGGCCGGTCTGCCCCTGCAGCAGGGGGCTGGGGTCAGCCTCTGAGGAGGACCCTGCTCTTTGGGGAGGCGGAACCGCCCGTGCAGATGGGCAGGCTGTGCCACAGAGCCTGCCCCCTCCCGGGGAGCTAACTCATGCTGTCCCTATAGCAGGCTGGGTCTCAGGCCGGGCGGGGCATGACACTCCCATTCCTTCATCTCCTTGGGTCAAAGGGAAACAAATGTCTGCACAGACACTCAATGTCCCCTAAAGCTTAAAGGAGAACGTGCCAGGGAGGCAGAGCCAGCAGCCCAGGTCCCTGAGGCCCTGCTGCCTGAGTTCCAGCAGGCCTGCCTACCTTGCTTTGCCCTGGGCTCTAAAGAGGAGGCTTTTGCCACTGCTACACAGAACTCTGCCCTGTGTCCCCCTCCAGGCACTGGCTCCCATTGGCCCCTCACTCCTCGTCTCTCAAGGCCCCCTCCTGAGTGTCACCTTTCCCCTGTAGGCTTCCAAACAAGCTCCAGACCCCGGTGACGGTGACTTCTTCCTCCTCTGAACCTGAGTGCTCACCATCAGCATCACTTAGGGGGCAATTCGTCATGTCCTGTTGTGACATGTCTCTTTGTCTTGACTGTTAGTTAATTTTTCATGTATTTGTGTCGTAGCATCCTAGCCTTCTCCTTGAAGATGGGGGGTGCTGAGGTTTCCGTGCATGCTCTGGCCCATCACCCAGGTGGCCCCTTGTACTGCAGAGGAGCTCAGTAAATATTCATCAGCTTGGTAATTTAAAATTTCTTCCAAAGGGTGGGCAGGGGTGAGAAAGATGCTGCCACTGACAGCTCTGAGTGATGCTGGTGAAGGAGTGGAGGCAGCCAGAGTGACAGCTGGAGCCCGGGGGTCTTGGGTCCTGGTTCTCTGCCCTCTCCTTGGTGTCACTGGTGCAGGTAACCAACGTGGGCTTACCAAAGGAGCACGCGTGCTTCAGAGACACCAGCCACTTCAGGGCCGAGCAGGACGTGAGTTACCCCAGCTGAGTCGGCGAGGTGGGCAGTGGAGGTCTCTTACCTGCATCCTCTGGAGTTCGCCGTAGGTGAAGATAGGGACAAAGGCTTCTGTCTGGGAGGCCAGCATGGCGACTGTGTGCACCACCAGCAGGGCAGCCACAGCCTTGTGGGACACCATCTTGGAGCTGGACAATGACAAGGAGCTCTTGTCACCAGGTTTAGGGCACAGTGGGGGACTGCAGCATTGGAGTCAGGAGCCTCAGTTCTGGTCCATGCCCCTCTATAGCTGTGTGATCTTTAGCAAGACCTTGGTCTCTCTGAACTAGTATCAGGGCTTTACCAG